TGAGCGAAAAAATGCTAACGCACTCTAGGTATAAATCAATCGATATACTGGAAGTCACGTGATCAGCTGGACAAGATGGCAGCAGGTTAAACTCGCTCAACCCAGTGATGCTAATTCTGTAAATTTATACCGTTGAGACAACATTTTTTTAAATATATTTTAGCCTTTATGAGTGTTTGATCGAAACCAATGTCTAAATCGAGCAAAAAGTCGCCACCTAAAAAGGGTCCCGAGACGAGGGCGAAGTCTGACATGGAGGCGTTAGCTGACACAGTGATTGAGAAGCAACGAGGCTATCTGGATTCGCGCTTCGACCAACTCCAACAGATGGGGAAGGAGACGAAGGAGAAATTGACTTCTATCCAAACGGACTTGGTGGTACTGAGTGAAAGCATCGGCACCGTTAAGGCAGAGATGGGCAAGATACGGTTAGATGTGGTGAAAAATGCGGGTATGCTAGCCACCCACGAGGCTACGCTGGACATGATGCAACTCAAGCTAGCGGACATGGAGGACCGGAGCAGAAGATGCAACGTCCGTATAACTGGGCTAGCAGAAGGAGTTGAAGGGTCTAACGCCATACAATTTCTGACACACTCGCTTCCAAAGTGGTTCCCCTCCTTAAGTAATCTAAAGGGCGAGTTAATGCGAGCTCATCGTATCTACAGCGACGACAGGAAGAAGCAGGTGGGCGCTACCCGCACTCTGATTTTCAACGTTCTCCGTTATACCACCCGCCAAGACATACTCCGTGCCGCAAAGAAAGCCCCGCTCACAATTGATGGACGGAAGATTCGCTTCTCCCCTGACTACAGCAGTTACACTGTTAAACGTCGTCAGGCTTTCTCCCGGGCAATGGATACCGCCCGTGCAAAAGGGGTGGAATTTTTCCTCCTTTACCCCGCTACACTGAAAGTCAAGGGAGCTGGTCAAGTTAAGACATTTCATTCCCCGGGACATGCCGAAGACTTCATCGTCTCCCTACCAGGAGTGCAGGATGCACCAACCGGCGGGGACGGGGACCCGAGACCTGGGCGATCGTCTGACGGCGAATAGCGGTCTTTTGGAACTTGTTGGGCTATATAGCGTCGCTGTTTTGGACTAAATGCACACTGCTTTGCGTGGACTGGGATCTCTTACAGAGTTTTGGATTATCTCTGCAGGCTTCTTTTTATTTGTTTTTGTCTGACGCTGGACTCATCTGGGGACAGATAGTTGTTTATCATTGTTTGGCTGATCAGACTAACTTGCGAGCCTACTGCTTGATTTTTGGATCCCACACCACTTTAATACAAACACAGCCGGGTTCTTTGCTTTTTGTTTTGATCTATATCACGGCGGATCCGCTGTGCATGTCGGAGGTGAATGGACAATGGCCGGTAAGATGTGCATTGGTTATCGGAACAGTATATGCTATGTTGCTACCTATTTACGTTTTTTGCTCTCATTGCTTCTAATACCTAAGCTCATTGTTGCCTTAGGTTATTTCATTTAGTCTGTTAACAACGGTTTAGTAAGCTTTAAGTACTGGGTTGAAGGGTAGGTATAATCCTTTTGCAGCCCCATATCCAATCAGGTCACGGATCAATTTAAGAATATCCGTTGAATGTACTGTTTAGTTATTTTAAGTATCGTCTTTAATATTTTTTTTTCTTTATCATCTTGTTTTTGTTACTGGGGGAATGTATGGGGGATTGTCTTGTTTTTGTCTTTGTCCAGTTATGGGAAACGCTTACATGTTCTCGGATTGCTTATGTGGAGAGGGACTTCATTTTATTTTGGTCTCGTTTACAGGTTTAGTAAATATGGTTGTTATTCATCTGACATTCTACTCAGCTTATTGTTGACATCTTCCAGAGCAGTGCAGCCCAATGGGTGATTTATCTATTCTTGTGTGGAACTGTGATGGGTTGAATGCAGCTCACAAGCGAGCTAGTGTTTTGACTATGTTACATCGCCGTAAAATTAATCTGGCTTTCCTACAAGAGACGCACTTTCTGAGTAAAGATTCCGGCCGTATTACTAATAAATTCTATCACACTATTGCATCCTCTTCAGCTAACTCCAAAACCAAAGGAGTAGCCATTGTATCTAGACGTAATTTGAACGTTAAGGTGCTGGACATGTGGGCAGACACTGCAGGGAGGATAACGATTGCCAGGGTGGAAGTTTATGGGAGAAAGGTGGCTCTTATTTCTGCCTATGCCCCAAATACATTTGATAAGGATTTTTATGATACCTTAACTAAAAAAATGCTAGAATTAACCGAGTATGCTATCATGGTGGGAGCGGACATGAACGCAGTATGGGACTCAAATGAACGGTCAAGTTTAACAACCTCTAGAGATCAGGAGTCGGCTACTGCCGCGATGCAGTCTTGGGCTGGGAGTTTGGGACTAGTGGACATATGGCGAGCTTTTAACCCACAGGTTAAAGATTATTCTTTTTTCTCAGCCAGACACAAATCTTTTTCTAGGATAGATTATCTTTTTACCTCTCCACAACTTTTCCAGAAAGTCGATAATGTAATGTTGCTTCCTATTGCCCTCTCAGACCACAAGGGAGTACTCTGTTGTGCGACTCTGGGCAATTTATCCAAGCGCGCCACTAGATGGCGCCTCAACTCCACTTTACTAGGAAATGGAAAATATAAAGAACAATTCCTGACACAATTGGAAGAATTTCTTGACTTAAATATAGGTTCAGTTGAGGACCCAAGAATATTATGGAATGCAGTCAAAGGCTTTATAAGAAGCAACACCATATTGTTCTCTTCAAATGTATGTAAGGAAAGATCCGCCAGATTACAGGCTTTGGAAGCAGAATTTGCTAGTCTTGACTCCATTTTGCAGAATAATTACTCTAAACAAACGGCATCTAAACGTAAACTTGTCAAAAAGGAAATAAATGATATCTTGAAACAACGATCAGAATTTCTAATACATAGGGTTAGGCAGCGCTATTACTTCCACGGGTCTCGGCCCAGTCACCTCTTGGCTTCAAAAATCAGGTCTAGTGAGCACTTTGCAGATATTCCCTCCATTAAATCTTTGAATGGTAATGTCACAACTGAGCCAAAGCAAATAAATGAGACTTTTCAAACCTTTTATTCCAATTTATATAAGTCAGAGGTTCAGTTGGACAAGAATAGATGTGACGCTTTTCTCGGTCAGCTAGACTTACCACAGCTTGCAGTCACTGATTCCACCCATCTTGATGATCCCATTTCCTTAGAGGAATTAAAAGATGCAGTATGCAACATGCAACGAAACAAGTCACCAGGTTTAGATGGGATACCTCCCGAATTTTATGTAGCATTTTGGGATAAACTGGGTCCACTACTTTTGGATATGATAATGTATTCGATAGATAAAGGCAGTTTTTCGAGGGACGTGAACATAGCCCTGATTTCCTTGCTCTTAAAGAAGGATAAGGACCCGACAGATTGTGCTAGTTACAGGCCACTAAGTTTATTGAATTCGGATCTTAAAATATTTGCAAAAGTGCTTGCCAGACGCATTCAGGATTATATGCCAACCTTAATTAACTGTGATCAGACAGGGTTTATAAAGTCAAGGCTAGCTACTGATAATGTTAGACGTCTTCTCCATATAATAGATGCTTCAGTTGACAAAAAAGACCCGACAGTGGTGCTGTCTCTTGATGCAATGAAAGCCTTTGACAGACTAGAGTGGTCCTTTCTGTGGTCTGTGCTGGAGAAAATGGGTTTTGGTAATGGCTTTATACATATGGTTAAGGTGCTGTACTCTAATCCCTCAGCTCTGGTGCTCACTGGGCAATTATCCTCCGCGTTATTCCCTGTTTCTAGATCTTCCCGTCAGGGATGTCCACTGAGCCCAGCACTTTTTGCACTCTCCCTTGAACCTCTAGCCCAAATGATACGCCAATCCCCTAGTATATATCCAATTTCTGTTCGTGACACTCACCATCAGGTGGCGCTATACGCAGATGATATTCTGGTTTTCATGGAGAAACCGACTCAATCTATGCCTGTATTGTTATCTATTTGTGAGGAGTTTGGTTGTCTCTCTGGCTTTAGGATTAATTGGTCTAAATCCGCCCTCTTACCCCTTAATGAGCCAGCTAAAATGCTTCAATTTCCACCCAATGTCCCAGTTGTCCAGCACTTTAAATATCTTGGGATAGAAATTTTCCCATCTTTAAATCGCATTGTAACATATAATTACTCAGAAGCATGGAACAGGATTAAGGTTGATTTGGAAAGATGGACTAGCCTTCCGAACTCTCTTCGGGCCCGAATATCTATAGTCAAAATGAACATTTTACCCAGGATTAATTTTGTCAGCTCAATGATCCCCCTCTCACCCCCGGTTGACTATTGGAAAAAAATCCACTCTTTTATTTCGCGATTTATCTGGAATTCAAAGCGTCTGCGGCTGAAATTATCCACTATACAGCGGAGGAGGGAGGGTGGTGGTCTGGCGGTGCCTAATTTTAAACTGTATTTTTGGTCATTTGTGCTTCGTCCGTTACTGGTATGGTTTAACCCTAATGCTTCCGTTTCCTGGCGTAATATAGAGGAAAATATCGTACAACCTTGGAACCTGCATGATATCCTTTTTGCCAATTTAACAAATAGACAATGTCAACTACGCTTTGGCCCTATAGTTTCACATCTCATCAAGATATGGCGCACAGCTGAATCACAATGTAAGATTTCCTGCAAGTGGCACACACTTTCTCCTATATTTGATAATAAAGGTCTGCTAATTGGTGGGAGACCTGTCTCATCCTCTCATTGGAGCAACAGCAGTATTCACCACTTGAGTGACATTTATGATAACAGGGGCTTGTGCTCCTTTCAAGAAATTAAGAGTGCGTTCAATCTGCCAGGTAGCTCATTTTTCTTCTATTTGCAGCTCAGATCTGCTCTCAAGGCACATGGTGTCCCATGGCAACAACCTATACCCGTTCATCCTCTTTATAAGTTGTTTACTGTACAAGGGAAAAACAGAGGCATGGTGTCTACACTGTATAATTTCTTTCTGGAGGCTTCCTACGATAACCTACAGCTGGACAGAGTATGGAGACGTGACTGCCCAGTTTTAGACACTGATTTCAGTTGGGAGGGTGTTTGGTCAAGCATAAAAGAAGCTTCTCGGAATCCCGATCACCAACAGATCCACTTTAACTATGTCCACAGAACATATCTTACCCCGCGTAAACTTCACTGCATGAAAATGATAGACGATCCCTCATGTAGTCTATGCACTATGAAGGCCCCTGGCACGTTTATGCACATGATGTGGGACTGTCCCCCAGTCACACTATTCTGGACTAAAGTGGCTTCTGGCATGTCACGTGTGCTTTCAGTGACAGTGCCGTTGACTGTACCCGCCCTTCTATTGAATGATCTGTCAAAGCTCAATATCACCAAGCTTAAGATGCGCATCTTACTAGCTGGCCTAACAGCTGCAAAAAAGATGGTTGCGGTTCGATGGAAGCCTCCTAATTCCCTCACTTTCAGACACTGGGTCCTTGCATCTCTGGATGTTGTTTATCTAGAGTTGTCAACTGCCCGAATAAATAGGACAAATGACACTAATGTAAACAATTGGCGCTCTGCAGTCGATTCCTTCAAAGATCTTTTAGAATGATTTCTCCACAGCCTTTTCAATTGCGACCTTTGCGTTTCCCTGTGTGTGTGTATGTGTTAGTGATGGTATACACTCCTGTCTGATAGCGCTGATGGAGTGCTGGCACCCAACAGCGAACACCCTATGTGTGTGTGTGTGTGTCTTTGTCTTTGTCTGTGTGTGTGTGTTTATATGTCTGGGAGGGAGGGTAGGGTTTGTTTTATTTTCATTGTCTTGTTATTATTTTTAGCTTACATGCGTTTTCTGTATTCTGCATTTTGTATTTCTTTGTAAGTAATTACCTTTATCTCATTTTGTTTCTCTTGTGTACTTTCAGTTATTTCATTTAAAAAAAATTGTTGTGGTTGTACATGTTGTGTATTAACATCAATAAAAATGTGATCACAAAAAAAAAAATCAATCGATATACTTATCGGATATGCACAAACAAGCTTACAAGCTGAGATTCCACATATTCTAGAAATATAAGTATCATCACTGAGCGATCAGAACTCGCGACAGGGGAAGCAAATCCAGACATCACACGACGTAGCTTTCGGTAGCAAAACATGGAGATATGCTCACCTTTTGCAGAATAACAATTCTGATCAAAAATGAGAAAAACGCAGCTGAAGGTTAATCCATAGGTTAATCCAATGTGTCTGTCACTTTGAAAAATGATTGACGATCCATAATTCAATTTTTATGTCAAAAACTGAGTTTTCATTAGCTGTAGCTTCCAGAGTGTATGACAGCTTCCTGTTTTGTCTCCTTGGATACGAGTCCAAACAACTCACAGACTGCACCGGGTGCTCACGTAGGAGCCCTGTGACCATCATATTTGACGACGCTGATTGGCTGAAATTATGTTTTCGCGGCATAGTTTACACGTTACAGATAGCAACAGTCAGCTGCTAGTGGCTGCTGCTGCACTGGTTGAGGGCTCCTCTCTTAGCGCCCAGACGAGAGAAGGTACACGGGCAAGGCCAGGCAGGAAACATGTGACTTATCAGTAACTTTAGACATCGTAACACAATTTTAAACGATATTTTATTGTAGATTATACATTTTACTGATACCAATTATATAATATTTACCTTGTTCATTAAAAATAAAAATAAAAATATATATATTTTTTTAAATATATTTTTTATTTTTATTTTTATTTTTATTTTTATTTTTTAATATGGGAAGAGGTGGGGCGGCGCCCCTAGCGCCCCTATGGACCGGCCGTCACTGGTAGTAACAATATAGTCACTGCTGTGCTTATGACTACATGAAGTCATTCTGAGTGTTGATGGAGCAGCTACAATGTTAGCCTAGCTTTAATCAAACCGGTCTCATTCAGAAAACATTTGAAATGTTTTTATGCTCTGTGCTTTTAATGCTATGTTTATTGTAATTAATTCACAGCAGATTGTATGTATATTGTGTTTATAATGCTATAGTGCACCAGGTTAATACAGCTGGGTGTGTCTTAGTAGATACAGTGAACATGTGCTCCTCTGGGTGATGAATCCAGACGGGATGCTGTTTGCTTTCATAATAATGTGAAGTGTAAACTATACCTGATCACTAAGATATATTATATAGAGATATAGACCTTTTTAAATATCAAACTAGAATTGTCCACCTTGTTGTACTGTTGTGGCGATCCAGCACTCACACAACAGGAAAGAATGAAACGGAGAGGAATCAATGAAACACAAACACAGAAATAGTTGAGATTAATCATTATTATTTAGTTGCGCACCACCAAACAACATTACCTTGCTTCAACAGCAACCAATCGCAGAAATGCTCCCACGAACACAAGAAAACACAGGGGAGATATAGGTTTTCTAAATGACACACGAACATGTTCCCTAATCATGTTTAACGCACACACATTGTCAGTTCTCCTGAACTTGGACATGTTCCAACCTTATACAGTCATATATGTTGCATCCTCTGAGTTCTACATGATCCCAGATTTCATGACCTTATTTAGCAGCTACCACACATGCCAATGTATACAACTGCTGCTGGTGAAGAGTTTCAGCTGGTTGCCTATAGATGGGCCATTTTCCAGCAAACCAAATGAACAACACACATTCCACTATACTATAGCTTATTATAACCATGTGACATTAATGAATATATCAGAAATACGCTGTGATAAACATTCTGCCATAACAGTACCATTGGTGAGAATCAGCTCCTCTAATGTAAAGTGCTATAAAGAATGTGTTCATATCCACAGAAGGAAGAGGAAGAGTAGTGTTCCTGTGGAGGAGCAGCTGTCCAGCTGTGCTCTGTGTCAGGACGTCCTGAAGGATCCAGTGTCTACCAGCTGTGGACACTGGTTCTGCAGACAGTGCATCACCTCATACTGGGAGCAGCGACCTCTATCAGGAGACTCCTCCTGTCCCCAGTGTGGAGAAAGATCCAGAACCAGAGCTGGACTGCAGACAGCCAGTCAGACCAGCTTTGTAAAAAGTAAGAGGCCGAACACATGCAGCGCCTTTAGATCCGTTGGGGCGCTGGGTCTCTACTCTTGTATGAACTCTCATTGGCTCAGAGTGTCATCTGATCTTCTTCCAGGCATTGTTTTTTGAAGTGTGTATTAAAACAGACGGCAGTGCTTTCATTAGTAGAAACACTGGACATATCTAAAGGGGAACGTTAGCAAATAACTTTTACAGAAGATAGTAAAGCAGGATTCTTCCTGGTTGTTCTGTTCTTGATTAGGTATACTGTTGAGCATAGACAGTAAGCTGTTTTATAAAAATGTTAAACTCTGTCTGTTTTTATTGTTTTATAGTTGGATTCTCAAAAGCATTTTCTCATTCTCTCATGTTTCCTTCTCTTTCAGCAGATAGTGGTCTGCAGGAGGTTTTAGATGAACATAAGGTCAGTCTGAGGAGGAGATGTGAACGTGTGACTGAAGGAACTGATGAAAGTGAAACCCTCCTCAACAGGATCTTCACCGAGCTCTACATCACACAAGGTCAGAGTGAAGAGGTTAATACCCAACATGAGGTGAGGCAGCTGGAGACAGTTTCCAAGAAAGAGACCCTCCATGACACTCCAATCAAGTGTCAGGACATCTTTAAAGCCTTACCTGACCAACAGGCTCACATCAGAGCGGTCCTGACCAACGGAGTCGCTGGCGTTGGAAAAACCTTCTCAGTGCAGAAGTTCACTCTGGACTGGGCCGAGGGTTTGGAAAACCAAGATGTCAGTCTGGTGATCCCGCTTTCCTTCAGGGAGCTGAACCTGATCAAAGATGAGCAGTACAGTTTTCTCAGGCTGCTCCATGTTTTCCATCCAACCTTACAGAAGGTCCCAGCAGAGCAGCTGGCTGTCTGTAAAGTGCTGCTCATCTTTGACGGCCTGGATGAAAGCAGACTTTCTCTGGATTTCAGAAACAATGAGGTTGTGTCTGATGTCTCACAGCAGTCCTCAGTCAACGTGCTGCTGACAAACCTCATCAGGGGGGAGCTGCTTCCCTCGGCTCTCGTCTGGATAACTTCCAGACCTGCAGCGGCCAATCAGATCCCTCCTGAGTGTGTGGACAGGGTAACAGAAGTACGAGGCTTCACTGATGCCCAGAAGGAGGAGTACTTCAGGAGGAGATCGAGTAATGAAGACCTGTCCAGCAGAATCATCTCTCACATCAAGAGCTCCAGGAGCCTCCACATCATGTGTCTGATCCCAGTCTTCTGCTGGATCTCTGCTGCAGTTCTGGACCACATGTTGACTACAGACCAGAGAGGAGAGCTGCCCAAGACCCTCACTGACATGTACTCACACTTCCTGCTGGTCCAGACAAAGAGGAAGAAGCAGAAGTATGATAAGGGACATGAGACGAGTTCACAGCAGCTGACGGAGGCTGACAGGGAGGTTCTTCTGAAGCTGGGCAGGCTGGCGTTTGAACATCTGGAGAAAGGAGACATCATGTTCTACCAAGAAGACCTGGAGCGCTGTGGTCTTGATGTCACCGAGGCCATGGTGCACTCAGGAGTTTGTACAGAGATCTTCAAAAGAGAGAGAGTGATCTTCCAAAAAACAGTTTACTGCTTTGTTCATCTGAGCATTCAGGAGTTTCTGGCTGCAGTCTACATGTTGCACTGTTACACCAACAGGAACACAGCGGTAGTGAAGGACTTCCTGCAGAAAGACTATGGCAACAGCCAATACCAGGATTACCCAACCCTGCCTGTCTTCCTAAAGGGAGCCATGCAGAAATCCCTCAGAAGTCAAAATGGCCACCTGGACCTGTTTGTCCGCTTTCTCCACGGCCTCTCACTGGAGTCCAACCAGAGACTGTTAGGAGGCCTGCTGGGTCGCATAGACTACCGTTCAGAAATCATCCAGAGAGCCATCAGCAACCTGAAGGAGATGAGCAGTGATCAAATCTCTCCTGACAGGAGCATCAACATCTTCCACTGTCTGACAGAGATGAACGACCACTCAGTTCATCAGGAGATCACAGAGTTCCTGAAGTCAGAGAACAGATCAGAGAAGGAACTCTCTGTGATCCACTGCTCTGCTCTGGCCTACATGCTGCAGATGTCAGAGGAGGTTCTTGATGAATTGGACCTGAAGAAGTACAAAACATCAGATGAGGGACGACGGAGACTGATTCCAGCTGTCAGGAACTGCAGGAAGGCCAAGTAAGTCCATATCTGATTACTTTATAAACTAATGTGGATCAGAAGTGTAATTATTCAAATAAACACTATAACATTTCTGCTGTTTAAATACTATGAGAGCAAAATAAACCAACCCTGTTCTTCTATTTATTTATAATAATAGTTCAATTGAACCGTTTCTCTCTTCATATTGAGTGATGGAGGCGACATATCAAACACATGAAGGACTTTAGAGGTTTCTCAGCATGTGATCACACCACACAGCAGGATTTACAGTTATTAGTGAAAGCAGTTATTATTACTTTCTAGTAGTTATTTTTCATTTAACAAACACACACATTTATATCACAATGTATTAGGGTTTAAAGTAAGATCTATATAATTTCCCACCAATAACAGAGTTATGTCTTAATGCTGATATACTGGGAATATCTGATGGTATTCAGTTGAAAATATTGAAACTTTATTGGTTTGTTAATTGTGTTTGTGTGCGCAGTACATTTTCAGATGCTCAGAGAAGCCTAAGCATCCTTCTTCCATCATTCACATCCAAATATTAATGAACATTTAAATATGTACATCTCTAATATTGTCAATTGATTTGTCTAATTTCTGTTTCTTTGTTTACAGTCACTGACAGCAGGAGCACAGACATGTGATCAGATCACACTGACAACGCACACATTAAACTCTATTATAATATATTATTATATATAACATTAAATGGACTGACAGCAAATGTCTATCAGAATATATGTCAAATCTTTTTTCATTAAATGCTTGAGGTTAATATAATGTCTCCTTTATTTTGAACACCTGTTATAATATATGTGTTATTATAGACTTACTGGCTGTGGACTTTCAGCGATTGAATGTGAAGTTGTGGCCTCAGCTTTGAAGTCCGACCCCTCCCATCTGAGAGATCTGGACCTGAGTGACAACGCTCTGCAGGATTCAGGAGTGAATCTGAGTTCTGGACTGAATAGTCCAAACTGTAGACTGGAGACTCTCAGGTCAGTTCACTGACTGCAGTTCATACAGATCTGTTTTTATTTATCATGTTCTGAATTTGCCTGAGAACAAATACATTTAAAATATATTTTTTTTCTCACTTTTGCTAATGACTGAATATTCAGCAGAATAACAAAGAGAAGGTGAAAGTGTGAGGGAGAGTATTTAAGCTTCCACAGACTCACACTGTGCTCCATGAGTCAGTGAAGATGCTGTGAGTACTGATGAGCTGTGAGGGAGATGAAGGAGTTGTTAAAGATCGGATACAAGTTAAAGTTCCAGATTATCAATGGATTGTTTCTACATCATCACTGACATTAAAACCCTATTCACCTCTGATCAGATTATTAAACCTGGAGTTATTTCAAACAGGAATATTGTTCTCTAAAGTTATATCATGTTTTTTTTATTCAGACTGAGTGACTGCAGTTTGTCAGGGATCAGCTGTTCTGCTTTGGCCTCAGCTCTGAAGTCCAACCCCTCCCATCTGAGAGATCTGGACCTGAGTTACAACGATCTGCAGGATTCAGTAGTGCAGCTGCTGAGAGATCTTCTGGAGAGTCCAGACTGCAGACTGAAGACTCTCAGGTCAGTTCTCTATCTTTTACTTCTGTACTGAGACTAATATGTATATATCAAAGTTCGAGCTCGAGCACCGTAGCGATAATTTATACAAACTATAGATTACTACTTGTACTACAACATTTGAATCATCAATTCTTCCTCATTTTCCTCAATTGTTCATATTTAGTTTATTCAAATTATTATATTGTGGTCATTGTTAAAAGAAAAATAAGGAGGGAGACATTTCTGCTATGAGTATTATTATTTGTATAATGCGCTTTCTGCCTTCCTGTCATCAGGAGTTAGACATGTAATGGCTATGTAATAGATTAGATTAGAACCTTCATTATCCTAAACTGCTGGGACATTTCCCTATAGAGAATATACCTTTATATTTTCTACTCTTCACTTACTTGTCAGCATAGGTCGGCATTGGCAGAGCTGACAAAATACCTTGTTTATGTTGGCATCATATTGAAGCCAACTCCATCGATCAAGCCAGTGTGACTGAAACTTTCTCTCCCTCTTCTTCTCATACTCCCTGTCACTCTCCTTTAACTCCTCCGATGACTTTCTTTTATTTGAAGATTGTTTTTTGCCCGGCGCTTGGCCGGTTACCGGTGGTTTTAAAAACATTTTGGCGAATGGTTAGGTGGCGCGAAAGTCTGTAGTGAACGAGCGCGCTCCCGTACGGGAGCCTGCTCGCACTGCGCTCTACTCCGCAGCAAACAGCTGTTTGCTTTTCATCCAACAACGACAACCGCCTCACGAAATGCTATGTTGTAGCGTTAATAAACGAAACAATTTAACAAAATTGCTTGTCAAAATACCAATACCACAGGACAATGTGATTTTATGTCTTACTGTTTTTTTTAAAGCAATATTTTTAATGGCCCGAGCGGGCAAGTGGAAAGTACGTTATGCTGGCCCGGGGTGTCTAAATAGTGCTTCCGGCCCAGCGGGCCATTTATAATGTCTAGCCCTGCATGGGACCTTTAACTTCAGGAACTAACTGTCAATACAAGTCTGGTTGGTTTGGTGGGAAAGTTTGAATATATGTAACTGGCTGTACTTTTTGAATATGAAGTGTTTATCGTCTCTCTTACACTGTCACATAGAGTAGTTATACAGCAGAGACAGCAGCGCTCTGCTGACCGGACGTTTACTGACTCTCCTGCTGAATCTGACCGGCCATAGTTTATTAACAGTGGTTGGATTTCCTTTCAAATGAGCCACAGCAGCGCATCAGACGAACGCTTCAGCACAAACCTCACCACGGACCGCGCCTTGTGGTTATATAGGCTGACATTTCTCAAGGAAATATTAATATACATGCCTTGATGATGTCATTCTTTATAAAGCCTCCCCCCCATGTTATTGAGCGAGGGCTTTTGTTATTCATTATCTTCTGAGAGTTCCATCCCTCTCCCCAAAGATAATTCGATTATTTAATAAGACTAAAAGCAGAAACTAAAGAGCCTGCAGTCTCCTCTCTGTTTATTGGTTTAAGAAATATAACTATTGAAACAAAAGAACACGGACTATCAGTTCAATTTCACTTTTTCTGTCTTACAGTTTTTAACCTGTTTGGAGTTTCCACTTTCTAAACTTATTAAGCTCTGAACTGATTATTACACCTGGAGTTATTTCAAACAGGAACATTGTTTTCTAAAGTTACATTATGTTTTCTTTATTCAGTCTGAGGCACTGCAGTTTGTCAGAGATCAGCTGTGCTGCTCTGGCCTTAGCTCTGAAGTCCAACCCCTCCCATCTGAGAGACCTGGTCCTGAGTTACAACGATCTGAAGGATTCAGGAGTGAAGCTACTGAGTGATTTTCTGGAGAGTCCAGACTGCAGACTGGAGACTCTCAGGTCAGTTCTCCATCTGTTACTACTGTACTGAGATCAATATGTATTTATCAAAGTGCCGCTCGAGCACCGGAGCAATGTTTGCAGCTTGGGTTAGAGGCTGTACACGTGCCGGCATTCTGCTGCTTAAATCCACTGCTGTGATGAACAAGCTCCCAGAATGCAACACGGCTGCTCTCAGAGTAAAAATATTAAAACAGATGGAGCATGATTTAACTTCAGGAACTAACTGTCCATACAAGTCTGGTTGGTTTGGTGGAAAAGTTTGAAATATGTAACTGGCGGTACTTTATGAATATGAAGTGCCCATCGTCTCTCTTACACTGTCACATAGAGTAGTTATACAGCAGAGGCAGCACTACAGCGCTCTGGTGACCGGACGTTTACTAAATATCTTGCTGAATCTGACTGGCCATTGTTTATTAACAGTGGTTGGATTTCCTTTCAAACGAGCCACAGCAGCGCGTCAGACAAACGCTTCAGCACAAACCTCACTACATACAGCATGTTGAAGCCATTTTGCATTTCTATCTTATTTATATTTATAATGAAAAATTATGAATGTTTTATATATGATGTTTTATTATTTATATGTATTATTGTTTTTGATTGATGCCAACTATCAATGTATTATTATGGTGGCGTCACATAGGCGTGGTTTTGGCCGTTTAATAGACGACAGGTGACAGGTGCTCATGATGAGTGGAAGGCAAACAATTTATTAGCTGCACGATAGAGACCGCAGGGTGAATTCTGGATGAAAAAATATACCCAAGATACGCCGTATGGCTTAGAATCTTTTGTTTAAGAGTTTAGAGTTTTGTTTAGTATTTTTTCAGTTTTTCTTTAAATAAACGGCGATATCTGATCATGAATGTGGATGCGCATTGATTTTTCTGACCGCTCATAACACAACACCTCACGGACTATCATCTCGATTTCACATTTTCTGTCTTACAGTTTTTGACCTGTTTGGAGATTCCACTTTCTAAACTTCTTCAGCTCTGATCAAATTATTAAACCTGGAGTTATTTCAAACAGGAACATTGTTTTCTAAAGTTATATCATGTTTTCTTTATTCAGACTGATATGCTGCAGGTTGTCAGAGATCACTTGTTCTGCTCTGGCCTCAGCTCTGAAGTCCAACCCCTCCCATCTGAGAGATCTGGACCTGAGTCACAACAATCTTCAGGATTCAGGAATGAAGCTGCTGAGAGATCTTCTGGAGAGTCCAGACTGCAGACTGAAGACTCTCAGGTCAGTTCTCCAGACATCAGGCGGTTATTACACTGATCCTCACTGAGTATTTTAATGCTAAAGTCTACTTTCTTCTTCTGTGGTTTAGTTCACTGACTGTGGCAGAGCCATGTTGATCTTTACATTTAAATATAACAAAAAAAACCTTCACTGCATAATCCCTCCGAACCTTTAACCCTCCTGTTGTGTTCGTTTTCCCCCCCTTACTTTGGTGTTCCCGGTCAAATTTGACCGCTCCTGTTTCAACTGCTATTACATTGACACAAAAACCATTAATCATCACCATATTTTATTTAACACCCTTTCAAACTTTAAATAGTGTATCAGACTACTGGTATACATGAAAAACTGCAGAAAATATACAAAGAATAGACACTGAACACATTTTTTTTTTCGTGTGATGTAATTAACATTTATTGTAAACAAAAAAAAATCAAAACAGAGACCAAATTCAAAGAACATCAGAACATTAACAAGAATATTCATCTGTGTATATGTATGTGTGTGTGTATATCTGTGTGCCTGCCAGTTGTGGTTCACATGGGGGGATGGGCACATTGGAATGGTTAATGCATATAATTTGTGTGTGTGTGTGTGTGTGTGTGTGTGTGTGTGTGTGTGTGTGTGTGTGTGTGTGTGTGTGTGTGTGTGTGTGTGTGTGTGTGTGTGTGTGTGTGTGTGTGTGTGTGTGTGTGTGTGTGTGTGGTGTGTGTGTGTGTGTGTGTGTGTGTGTGTGTGTGTGTGTGTGTGTGTGTGTGTGGTGTGTGTGTGTGTGTGTGTGTGTGTGTGTGTGTGTGTGTGTGTGTGTGTGTGTGTGTGTGTGTGTGTGTGTGTGTGTGTGTGTGTGTGTGTGTGTGTGTGTGTGTGTGTGTGTGTGTGTGTGTGTGTGTGTGTGTGTGTGTGTTTTCGGACACAGCAATGGCATTTTGTTATCGGGTCGGAGTGTGCCTTGCAAACGTAGACATTACATTTATAGCAAGTAAGGCTGGTTTTGTTGTCCCTAGGGGCACAGAACTTGCATCTTTTCGTTTTCTGCCCCTGTCCTTGTTGGGGGAGAGTGGCCAGAGAAGCGCCTGGGGCTTGCAGACTCCTAACCAGACTGGCAGAGACATGAAACTGCTGTAAGGACATAGTTGACCGAAATATAGGCCTCCCGGACTCTGCATCCCACAGACTTTGTGTAGCCTCATTGTTCGACCGATAAACTCCTGCCAAAATCAACAGCCCTATGTAGGCTTGGAGGTCTACATGGTCCAAACCTCTCCACGTATCCCCAAACCAACCCACTCTCTTCAGTCTGCGTACAAATGACACGACTTTACACATTGGAAATGTGTGCAATACATACGCAGAAGTCATATTTTGCGTGCATATGATACGCTAACCATTCCCATTGAGATCTGAGGCCGAGTTTTGCGTGCATATGACATGCCACATTTCGTGCCTTCACCACTTATTTTTGTCCGGTCGGCTCTTGGTAGACCGGAAGCTGTGTGGTTCAGAAAAACATGTTATTACTCAATACCAAGCCACGATTATTGTTTTTATTTTAAATCGTATAATGTCGGACTTTTTTTGCCGTCTGTGAGGAAAATAAATGTGGCTCAGAGCCTCAGAATAATGAAATCTTTATTTTTTTAAATCTTTTTTTCCTTCTAATTTGTTATTCTAACACACTGTTATTTACTCAACAATAACACACAATTATCCTTGTTTTTATTTATTCGTTTGATTCTATAATCTTGAGCTTTTTAGCATGCTTTTTAGCCGTAAATAAAGTCACCGGAAACAGACGTAGACGGTAAACTGATTACCCAAGATCCTCAGCTTGAAGCTCGGGATGTTTTAGCCGCAATGCACGTTGGGATATGGTGTTAATGCGATATGCTATCCGAAAAAAAATTCAGAGTTTAGGATGGCCGAAGACACTACCCATAATCCCCAGCTATTGTTTGGGACTACAGTCCCGTTGACAAACCCCGTGATTAATCTTCAAGCTCTGGGATTGGATGTTGGAGTGGCAGTGCGCCAAGGTTACACCGAGCGTCAAACGGCTCTTTGAAATGGAACGAAACCACGGCAGACTAACCAAAACTGGACTCGAACGCCCCCCCCAGAACTACACATGCTGGCTATTGTGTTTCGCAACATGTTCTATGGCACGTCTCTACTGGGAATTGTAGTTTTAAAAGACGTTTTCGTTTTTCCCAAAATTAGAAGTTGACAGTATTAAACTGTATACAGCTCTGGAGGTTTAGGCGATAGGAAACAAATTGGTGTGTACAAATTTAAAACATGTAATTAATAAATGGGTGAAAATCGCTTGTGTACATAATGGGCAGCATTAATATATACCCACATGACAGCTCATTGTTACTTTGTAATTCTACTCCACTACAATTCAGAAGTTAACCTGGTATTTTTACTCCACTACATTTATTTTAGTTACTTTGCAGATTCTGATTAATGATGTGAAATATAAACAACCCTTAAAGCAGACTTTAGTTACACCTGAGTAAAATTCAGGGAAAGGTGATTGTCAAGTGCCAACAATCAGGCAAGATATGTGATAGTTGGTGCTTGAGAAGACTAAACATTTATCTGCAGATCCCTATAAAGTATATTCATTACTCGTTATTCTCTACTAATAGTTAATTAAAAACTGTATATAATGGCTATTTTGCACATCCCTTTCAAGATTTCAAGATTTTCAAAGGTTTATTGACATATACACAACTACGGTGTAGTTATGCAATGAATGAAAAACTTGGGTCACAGGTTCCTCAACAGTGCATTACAAGACATCTATCAATATGTGTGTATACCTCCACCATTAAACTGTCAAATTCTGCACATGTCTTATACTCTCTACATACATAAGAGTATAATTAATGTGTATAATATCAGTTGAAATAAGTGCTTCAACATAGTTAACATTGCAGGAAAGCAATATATTAGACGTTAAGTACTTTGTCAGGCTTAATATTTATGTGTAGATACCCCCAAAGCTTTTTTCTTATTTAAAGAAGACCTTAACCTAAAGTATTCTTTAATGTCTTAATAAAGGTTAATTAGTTTGTCTGTTTTGCACATCCTCATATTAATATCTTTGTACATCCGGCACTAAACTGTTTTATTGTAGAGATCACTTACAGTATCTTCTTGATTTTTTATATTCTATATTTCTATCATTGACCTTCTACTTTCCCCCTATGAAAGTATGTACTCTTAATATTATTTTCATCAAATAACATTATTCAACAAAAATAACATTATTCAACACAAATAATTCAATAACGTGCTTTAACAACTAGGCGGTGCACACAAGGTACACACAGCATACTAATAATAACTTTGTATTATTAGTGTAGGACACTTATGTATGTACAACATCTGAAGATGTGTAGTTTTATTCATGTTTTTACATAATTTTACAGGATATTGCTATACTATTTCTCATGTTTTACTTCTACACATTAATATCTGATTTGTAAAACATCACAGACAGAAAGGTATATCCGTCATGTAATGGCAAGCTATTGAAATTGTGATTCCATAGATGTGTCTCCCATCACCCAAATCCCCTGACTATTCTCTCAACTCAGTATTTACATTCTTATATTCAAAGAAAATCAGTAATATCTTTAAAAACTACAAGTCCTTTTCTATCAGCTGTGCACCGTTATGATGTAAATATGACCTATCTACCAATTGGATCAAATATAAAAGTCAGCCGAATTACTATTGATACTGCAAGGAGACGTATTTTGTGAAAAGAAATGTAAGATGTTGTTTAATTGTTGATATATTTATTATCCATGTCACATATTCAGTTTCGGTGGCACTTCTTCCTGTTTGTCCAGAAGTCTTCTCATCAGGGCTCTATAAATAAAGAACTACGGCAGATGTGTAATATTTAATACAGTCGAACCGTGTATTACAATGCCGTTATGTGATGACTTCCAAAGAGAAAAGCAAGAACACTCGGAATAAAGTATTATTTTTATTTTTTTTAATGTTTTCGGATTTCACATCGCATAAACACAATATCCCAACGTGCATTGCGGCTAAAACATCTAATCAGCGAGCTGAGGATCTTTCCTACGTCTGTTTCCGGTATTGTTCCTGTAATGAGAGTTCACATTTATGCTAAATTGAAGGGTGGAATTGACTACACATCTTCAGAAACATAATTTGCTTCAGATATAACTCATAGCAATATTGTAACCATTAAGAAAAGCCAACTGCATTAAAAACCCAGTTAACAAACACTAGGTAAAGTATTTTCCTTCAGTAATTAAGATGTAATTCCAATGTACACACCTGGGGTCGCTGTTCTGTCTGTTACGCTGAGCCATGCATTGTCTGGAACGTAAAAGGGACGAAGAAGACAAAGTGAAGTGACGTATCTCCGGTTCAACATGAAAACATTCCCAGTTAAACATGCAAAAACAACTCGCTAAATAAAAAGATAAAACACTGGCATGTAATTTACGTTAGAATAAATAAACGTTTTGAATAATAGATGAGAGTAAAATCTACGTCACTTTACGGCCCCGCCCATCTTTGGGGAAACCAACGCTGTAATTTGAATGGCGATCAAGCCTGAAGCCACAGAGCTCTTCTGTTACTGTCCTTTCTTACAGAAACACGTAACTCTGGATTTGTTTTAAAGGGCCCATGTCATGGCCATTTCCACTGATCATAATTACATTGTTGAGGTATACTAAAATAGATTTATACTGTGCAATTTTCCAAACTCACATTGGTTTCGCATACAGCATCTCTGTAAAGTGTGTGTATTCAGCAGTATTCACTCTCTCCACTAAACGACTCGTTGGAGCTCTTGCCCCCCCCTCCCTGTGAGCCTAGTGTGCTCCGATTGGTCAGCTCGGCCACTCTGTTCTGATTAGTCAACCACCAGAGAGGCTCCGCCCATGTCTAACAGTGCTTTTTTCGGCTCGCTCTCGGAACATCAGTCTTATAATGGCGTCGGTACAGACATCTTCCTCTATTTCGGGTTCCACTTCAATCCCTTCTTCATCTGGCTCAAAAATGTGGTCAAGAAACTCTCTGACAGATAACAGCTTAACCGGTCGCTTACTCATTGTGCTCATGGAGTAAAATGATAGCAGGGCAAAAATTAAATTATATATAGGGGGTCTGTGAGAAGATATGATACAGACTTTAGTACTGTATGTCAGATGTGCTATAAGAGCGGGAAACACATTCAATTGTTCTGTATGAGTGTGTGCGTGCACTGTGTGCGCATGTGCTTGTGTGTGTGCGTTTGTGTAGATGGAGCAGAGTTTCAGATGTGAAGTAGAAGCACGTTGTGTTTAATATTAATGAGAAGTCTGTGTACCTTCACTTTAATGGTGTGGCTCTCTAAAACTATTCAATAGAAAAGTGACAGAAGGCTCTTTTTGCGTTTTAATAAAAGCTCAAATGATCATAGTAGCGAGGGGCGGGGGGGCAACTCTCAGAAGTCCTTTCAAAACAACAGACAGACACTTGATGCTAGATAAATGTGTTCATGTTTCTTTGTAATCACACGAGAGGAAGTGAAGGGGTCGTTGAGAGAGTCCTTAATGTTCTCTCAGAGCACATTAGACTAGAGGAGGGATGAGGGCTTTCCTCTGAAGCGTCACTGAAGCCACGTCTGCTTCAGCTGATCAGCTGTCAGCTTTAACAGCTCTACACACTTTGGACAGTTTGTTCACATGTGCACTCTGCTCATACTAATATAATGCTCTCAGTCATCATGAAGCAGCAGCAGTTTGTTACCTGTTTAACACACACCTGCTCACCATCAACCACCTGCATCTCATCTTTGTTCTGTGTCCTACTTAGCAGCACAGGATGCATCTAACCTGCCAGAAAGAGTTCATCTTAGCCTACCTATTCATTACCTGCATCTGTACTCGGGGACATTCTGATCGTGAATGTATGATTTATTAACCCAGAATTTTGAACTCTGGCCATTACTTATTAGACTTAAAGCTTCAGGGTATTAGAGCTCTTTTTCACTTTTTCTGTCTTACAGTTTTTAACCTGTTTGGAGTTTCCACTTTCTAAACTTACAACTAGTTGTTAATTGACATGCATATTAGCAGTATATTGGCTCTTTATTAGTCATTATAAAACACTACCATAATAACACTTAACAAATATGATCTATTCTTATGTAACAAGACATGAAACTATAAGTGTTAATTGTGTCTAAATAACTCAAAATAAGGTATTTATATCTAAGAATATGTTCCCTATTTTAAAGTGAAGTCTTGTTCATAACCAATAAGCTAGTAGTTTGACTCTAATGGCGCATTTCCACCACACGGTCGGCCTCGGCCTCGCTCGGTACTGCTAGGCCGCGTTGGGCCTTGTTAGGGCCGGCTCACTTCATGCTGCGCTTCCATTACAGTTTAGGAACTGGGGTAGTTACTATAGTAAGCAGTGATGTGCAGTGAGGTTCATGGCTGGTGAGGCACTGACTCTTTCAGAGTCAGATTTACAAATATTATATTTTGACCTTAATCGAAATATTCGGTTATTTTCAAAAGCTTTTTTAGTCTGATGCTTCGATTCATTTTAAACAGACCGTTCAACAAAAGGATACCCAAAATCTAAATATTGGATTGTTCTTTCTTAGTAAGATCCCATTTTCATTACAAATGTGGTCTTACCTTGACTTGAAGATGAAGTCCATGCTATCCTTCTGGACAACAATCTCTATTACTTTTTTGTAAAAGTCCTCCTTATCTTCCTGTAGTTTCAAAAGTCTAGTTTGTTGTTTGCGTGTATCGTCTCTGCGTAGAATTACAGTAGCAACCAGAACCTGTGGGCTCACGTGCGCCCCCTTCAGTGCGGCAGAGGTTATGGCTGCCTCCCCTGTTGCTTTTTTCATTGCCGTTGTATGATGAGACCAGCGAGCCTAAATATCATATATACGTGAAATAAGTTATTTAGAGACTATGGATGGCGAGAATAAATGTAATAAAGGGATCTACAAACATTACATTG